TCTATAAATTATATAAATTTAATAAAAAATTGAGCAAAGAAACTTACACCATAAACAAATATTAAATGTCATAAGTAAGTTTCTACTGAAAATAATTAAAATAAAAAATAGAACCAAAAATCAAATAGAAAATGAATGACAGTAGTGGGGGGGGGTAGGAAGAGTGGGGTAGTTTTATATAATTGATTGATAGGATTGGTAGTTTCAGAAAACGAATTATAAAGCCTTTCTCTCTTCACCAAATCCTCTGGTTACAACCTAGAATTGCTCAGTGAACTCGTGAACCACTTCATTTTCCTATTGGAACTCACAAGCAGAGGTTTGAAACCTCAAGGTTTCCTCCTATCGATATCTATATAACGTTTGGTATAGATTACTATACTACTAGAATTGCTGGGCAATTAATTAAACGTTGAACTCTCTGGGAAACGCGTAATGCGGGACTACTTGGTTAGTTAAGTTTAACCCCATTCGATATATAGGAATGATGAGACTACGTCCTGATTGGTTTACAAAGAAAAAAAAAGGAAGATTTTTTAAAGAAAAAAAATAGAAGAAGAGGTGTAATTTATCAGAAATCTCATAAGAGAACTATTTCATACTCTCGACACTCGAGTTATTTTGAATCCTCCCCTCCCTCAATCTTCAGTTGTATATTAACGTTAAAATAGTGCATACTAATGTTTCAAGGTTGATCGATATATCCGGTTATTACCATCACTATGGTTAAATAGATCTTTCTGATATGATCTTAATGTCTAATACGACAAAGAATGTAAAATTTATGTTATGTATAATAATATCATAATTCGTTGTAATATTCGATACTTTATCTATGTTTTGAAATATTACCTAATATTATAAGATAAATCTATTTATTTATTTATTTATTGCGATAATATTATAATAAAATAATATTTAATACTTAAATATGTTATTGTGTATTGTCTATTTAAAAATATATATTATTTATTTTTAACATATTTATATCTTTTAATCTATTCAAGTGACGCTACGTATGCTTCAACGTAATTGGTTAAATCCTGTTACAACCTAGGGATGAGTTAGCAACAAAGATGCACAAGAAGCTCGTTGGATGGGTAACATCAACATCCGAGAAAATAGAAGGCGGCTTTTCGTGATTACCGGCGCCGGAAGGACGATTTATTTTCTGAATATATTATTATACTTTGCGCGAGATATCCTAAGGGAGATTAGAGAGAGAAAGAGAAAGATAAAGAGAGAGAGAGAGAGAGAGAGAGAGAGAGAGAGATCTTGTCAACCTTTCTGAGCCAATGGCATCGATGGATCATCATATTCATTGTACACGTTTCATAATATTTCTATGTACGAATATTATTTTAATAAAAAGAAAAAGATAAAATGTGAGGTTAGGTTAACAAGTTTTGAGTCTAAATAAAAATAACGTATCGTTTTTATTAGATTGTATTCGTGGAAGATTGAAAAGAAGTTGTTTTGGTATAACATAAAGCGTTTTATATTATTAAAAGTGAGAGATTAATGCGGATACAAAAATGCCACTCAAATCTTGAAAGGAACCAGAAAAACCGTAAAACGGAAAAACGGTATGCACTCGGAAACCGGTTGTGCCATCTATAAATAACACTGACGCGCTGATTCCCGCCAAATTTAACAGTTTTTTAATTAAATTAAGTTTGATCAAGAAGAAAAATATTGTTTCTAAAATATTTTGAGTATATATTCTGTATATAAATTGTATAAATTATATGTATTAATATTTTTGTCTATATTAATATTCAAATAATAATAATAATAGTTATAAATATGTTAAATAACGATAAACAGGTTAAAATAGTTGATAAAACAAATTTAAATCGATTCTTTATTATAAAGATGATCCTTCTTTAACAGTGCGGAAATCGGATTGGAATTTCAATAGAAAAAGAGAGGCAGAGAGAAGGGTTGGTGTAGGAAATTCTTATAAAATTTTTTCCTTTTATTTTCATTTTTTTCTTCTCTTTTCTTTCGATTATGATCCTCCCTTCCGTAGGATAAAAGGGATACACGAAGAAATTTATTTCATTCCAGTTTAATGAAACAAAAAAGTCCAACTTAGTTTTTTTTTTTTTAATTTTAAATCCATTTAATTGAGTTGAGTGTTGTTGGATATTGCGTTAAAATCGTTGTTTTTAATATTTCAATGAGTAAAATAATTTTTCAATGAGTTTATTTTAATCGTCCGAACAATATCAGCAATTGCAATACAAAGTCTGCCTGAGGTTTTCTTTTTTTGTTGGATGCATACAAAGAAAACCTTCCCCCACCCCAAAACAAAATAAAAACAAAATAATGAACAGAACATTAGGGATTCTTTTTTTTTTTTTTAATTATAGTTAATCTTCATTGTTCTTGTTTCAATTATTTGTTTGTTTTCTTTGTTTCTATCAACAATATTGATTAATATTTTATTCATGAAAGAGTATGTTATCTTCTTTTATATTTTTCAATTTGTATTTACAAACAAAAATTACATCTTCAAATATAATTATTATTTATTATAGATTATAATGTTAGGTTAATACAATAATGATGAGAATTTCGTTCATCAAAATTCTATATACTTTAGTGGAATGATATTTCAATCAATAAATTGCATAGATTTACTAAATACTATTTGAAACATGTTATTTCATTTTATTTATATTTCTTATCCAATATTCTTGTCAGTAAGATCTTAATTATTATGTTATTTCAAAGATCGCGTGCAACGTAGAGAGTAGAAAAAATTTAGCAAATTACCTTTAATTATGAGAAAACGATCTAATACAAGAAAGACAGAGAAGAGAAGAAGAATGAAGAAAAAGAAGAAAATGCAAAGGAAAATTTTGATGCATTAAATTGGATGAAGTTATTGAAATGTTCATAAGAAAAAGTTGTTAAGTGTCTACTACAAGTAGCAAAAAATGATATTTTCATCATCCTCTTCAACTTATTTTTATTCTTATTCCTTTTTATTTAATTTCTTTTTATTTCATCTTATTTTCTTACTTTAGTTTGAAAAGTAAGGTTAAGAAAGTAGAAGAAATTTTTTCCTTCTTCTTCTTAAAAAAAAAAAAAACTTTCTTTCCACTTATATAATAATTATATATAAGAAAATAAAACAATAATAATAATAATAATAATTATAATAATTAAGATAAAATAATGATACATCTATCAATTGTTTATTAAGAAACATTTCTGTATTAATTTTCACAAAACTTTTGTTTCATTTCAATAACTTTTTCTATCTCTCATTTTTTCTTATAAAAATAATAATAATAATAATAATAATTATTATTATTATAATGAAGAATAAAATAATGATACACTCCCCTCAATCAATTATTTATCAATAATCATCCCTTGTTAATTTTTCCTGAAAACTTTTTATTACATTACATGACTTTCTTTATTTCTTTCATTCTCTCACATTTTATCTCAATTTTTATCTATAGCAATTAAATATCTTTGTTCTCCATTAGGATATCGTATCGGTAAGTTCGAGTATTTGGTAAAAGAAAGGACCAAATAAGAAAGAGTAGGGGGTTGAAGTTAATGAGCGTAAAAGGGGTTGAGTGTACTGGATCGAATGAGAAACAATTTTCTGAAGATAATAAAAATGAGAAAGAGAAAAGGCAAAAGTAATTTATAGAAAGGGGAAACAAATACAATCGATTAGTTTTCTTTTTATATTTTTTCTTCTTCTTCTTGTTAGGTGGTCCATTCTCTTTGACGTTAAGAAAAATCAATTGTTAAATTATCCTAAAGAATCTTATTATTATCTTTTCTATTTATCTGAAGTATGTTGTTAATTGAACTTCTGCTTTTTCTATCAATAATGTGTTTTTTTTTTTTTGTATCAAAAGATTGTATTATTTATTATTGATGAAGTTTTATTAAACCCAGTCACCCATCCCAACTTCTTTCTACTCTGCAATCCCAATTTATCTCAACTTCACACATGTATGTATTAATTAAAAAGAAGTTTTCTTTCTTTTTTGGTATATCAAGAAGTGGTTTCCAAGTGACGAATTTTAACGAGGTCAACACTTGAATATGTTAAGATAAAATCTGTAGGGTAAGCTATATTCGTTTTGATCTCATATAACATCCATGATAGATATTTATATTTATATGTATATAAGTATAAATACATATATGTATGCCCATCATTATTATAAAAGTGGTTTAAGTAATGTAAGTACATGTAAGTCATGTTTTAAAGATATTTAGGAGATTATGTTTAAATGTAAAATGAATTTCATATAATGTTGAAACAACAAACAATCCATTTAACTATTCATTTTTTAGAATATCATATTAATATTATATTTAATTTTGATTTATAGTTTATAAAATAATAAAATAAATATTACTATTAATAAATTAAATATTAAATAAAATAACAATAAATTAAATATTATCTTGTAATGATTCACGTTTGATAATATTGTCAAAAATTACAATACACTGAATTATATTGAATTAATTTATAGTTTAATGTTATGTAAAATAATTGATGAAATCATTCTCTATTTTTTAATTAATGAATATTATGTTTTGTATTATATTATTTATAAAATATTAACCCTTAGCACTCTAAGTGTGAGCCCCTCAAGCATCATCAGTGTACAGTGCACTACTTCAAACATATTGTTGGGTCCTTACCAATACTGTTACCAATCAAAATAAATACTTCTCAATTATTTACAACCATCATTGTACTATTTAAGATCAAAATTCATTGTAATATTTAAAATCTGACATTTAAAACCTTGCAAGTTGAAGTACGGTGAGAAAAGGTTGGAGTTGGTTGTCAATAACTGCATTCAAAAGTTGGAGTGCTAAGGGTCAAGTCACTTTTATAATTATAGGCAAATAAATCTTCTTTTTATTCTTTTCTTTCTTTATGTTTCTATTTTAGTTTTTTTTTTATATATATGTAAATTAAAAATGGAAAAAGAGTGAGTACTCACCGTTGTCCCAAGCGGCTTCCTTCATTCGAAGAAGAGCAGCCAATCCAATATTATCTTTGGGCATAACTCGGTTCAACATATTGTCCGAACCTTCGGCATTAGCCATTGCCAATTGATTGAATTCGACTAAATGCTCCTTTATCAAGGTGAATCTGTAAAATAACCAAAAAAAAAAGTAATTATTATCAACCCCTTTTGAGTACTGAATATTTTTAGCTAACAGTGGTTTTATAGGAACAGAATCATTTATTATTATTGTGAAATATTAATCCCAGATTCTAATAAAATAGTTTTTAAACAATAATTTAATAATATATTAAAATATATATATATATAAATATAAATTTTAAAATATATTCAATATTCTAATAAATTAAATAATAAATATTTGATAATTAAAATACTCTTTTCTTACTTAATATAGTTATTAAATATATTCATTATTTAGATTGTAAATTTTACTTAAATGGATTCCACCATAATCAAATTTCACTATTCGTAGTTTTCAAGAAACGTAATCGTGGTCATTAGTCGATCGTCATTATCGATTGTCGATTTTTATCTAAAAGAAAAAGAAATCTCGTAAGAAGGCGTATCACGTAGGGCAAGTGCTGGGTGTAGAGAAAACCCTTCTTTGGTTTCTTTTGCAGATATGTGTGGCACGTATAGTCGAGAGAAAAATATATTCTTCACCGAATCCCCCATTACGAGCCATCATCCCCCTTCTTCTAGCCTCCCTACCCTAACATCGAATCCCCCTCATCATCCCATCATTCCTCACCACCACCACCAACTCCTTAAACCCTCATTTTTCGTTTTTCTTTCCTTTTTTCTAACATCTTCATGTTTGTTGTTACTCGTAAACAAGATTGAATCAACGTCACCAACAGTTGCCACAACTGATGTCAGGCTGAGATTGTATTAATACGTTTTGTGTCACGTGTACCACTGGTGGTACACATTAAACTTGTTCTTTAGGCCACGTGTACCACCGATGGTACACTAACCATTAAACATATTTATTTAATGCACTGAAAATATATGTTTAATTCTGTATAAAAATATTGTTATTCAAATATTGATGGATTATACAAAATACAGTATAGAACAAAGCACATAAGTTTGTTTAATAGTTATATTTATAATAATTAATAATAATATGTAATAATTGATTTTGTCCAAGCAAAATTAAATGATCTAAATGACAAGTCAGGTAAAAAGGGTTTAGCATGGAACGTGTTAAATACTTTTTGGTAAATATGAAAGGTATGATTATTAATTTGAATCTTAATAAGAGTTTAATTATGTTTAAACATTTTTATGATTTATTTTTCATGTTCACTTGTCAACGATTACTTTCACAAGAGTTAAACTCACGTTACTGTAACTTTTTCTTACTGTAACATGTAACATATAAGGATACTTATCGGAAATAAGTTAAAAAAGAAAAACTTGAAACAACTAATACACGTTCAACCGCGAAAAGAAATAAAAAAAAAAAAAAAAAAAAAAAAAAAAAGAAGGATAACCAATAAAAATAAAAAGAAAAGAAAGAATAAGAGGAAGAAACTCGACCTCATGGATCCCCAAGACCTAACTCTAAAGTATCGACGTTTCCTGAGTATCGTCCAACCGACCATTCGTTCAAAAACTTTCGAATCACGAGCAGAAAGGTACGTCTAGCAAGACACGAGTATTACTTTGAGAACCTTTCTCTCTCTCTCTCTCTCTTTCTTTTTCTTTTCTTTTCGTCCTCTTCTATTTCTTCTTACCGAACTAATACGAAAGTTTGACGGAAAGTTCTACGAGGAAGGGGAACAAATATTTCGTTTGGGATCTTCTTCTTCTTCAAGTGAAGTGCAATAAAAGGGAAGAATGATACGTGTACTCGATTATTATTCGCTAGTGAGAAGGATACAAATAAAAAAGGGAATCCGCCCCCCTCCCCCCTCCCCTCCCCTCCCCACCCAAAAAAAAGAACGAAAAGTACAGTAAAGATAAAAAAATAGAAAGAAAAATCGAAAGCAATTCCGTTCTATCGTACCCTCGAGTCTATTTCAAAAGCCAATCGTGTTTTACTACACTCTTCTAACTTTTTTACTATATATATATATATGTATATTCGATAATGTTTCCATTGAGACTAATTGTTGAAAGGGTTAAGGGGCTAGATATGTAGGGTGTGAGTGTGAAGGGTAGTAGTTGGTAGATTTGGAACACGTTTGAGGAAATATTCGCAAATTATTCCATCTGCTTTTCAAAAGGCTTTGGTTATACCACCTATACATGTACACACACATACATATATATGTATATAGATATCATATGTAACATGGTGTATACTGCAAGTAACTATCTAGGTCACATCAGAAAGCTTTGTCATTTAACTGACCTTAATATCGTCATAGAGACGTCGGTTTCACGAAGCATTTATGATGTCAGAGTATAAAGGAATGTTACATATATATATAACGACATATACTATGTATTTACCTGTATATAATATATATATATATATATATATAGTTACGTTAGAAGTGGAAATTTTTATCAGTCTCAACATTGTTCTCTTCGATATCAAACGTCGTTTATAAACTATTCTATACCATGAACTATTGTTATATTATTTTTAAATCATAAATATTTTATATATTGCAAAATTCTAACGTCACTAAGACAATTGATTTAATTAACAATTGTGTTTGCAATATTAAAATAGACAAGGATTTATAATCAAATCAATTGTATTAAATTAACAATCCATTTTACAGCATTAAATTCAATGCAATTAGTTTATCTACTCCAATAGGGTTACTTTGTATAAAAAAACGTATAAGATTACTCAGAATATTTTTATGGTTTGTTTATTTTTGTTTTGTATTTTTCTTCATGGAAAATGCATAGATGAGAAATGCAAGAAAATCCACAAGATACACTAGGGTTGTAGTTAAGGGTGCTAGAGAAGTAACATTGATGGTGATGGTGATGATGGTGGTGTTAGTGTTGAAGGGGTGGTTTTCTCTCATCGTGGGGTAGGTAACTCTCGTCGTGTCTTCTTGGTAAATTGGATGTACTACTAAGGTGAAAATGCAAATTTTCTCTCGCCCTGTCCGCGTTGATATTTGTTTAAGTTTCGAGAGGGGTGTTGGGGAAAAGTGGGGTTGAAATCTAACGACGTTTTCTATTCCTTCCTCTTACCTTTCTTCATTTCTTCGTTCATTCATTCATTTGATTCGTTTTAATTCGTTCATTTTGCCAGTTTTATCTCGAAAAAAACCTCGTAATTTGCATTATCTCCGTAGTTGTCGTGTTTTATTCTCGTTTGTCATTTAACGTTCATTGTTTTAAACGTTAGCTTATAAATTATATATGCACGTTTCGCTTTAAATATTGTCATAAATATATATATGTGTGTATAAAATGAGATGTCTGTCTTTTGTTCGTTAAATTACTTTGTCAACATACTGTGAAACACCAACACTAACTGCGACACATTGGTGATGATGTGTCAACGGGTAAAAGAAAGTTTGATTAAAAAAGTTGACTCTCTTCTACTTTTTGTTATTTTTCCTACCCCCTTTTCCCTCAAAAACCGTGTCTTTGTTCGAATAATTTCAAATGAAAAGAAGAAAGAAAAAACAAATACATAAACACACTTACACACAAATGCATAAACTAAAATTTAAAATTGTTCCTTTACTTCTTTAAAAGAAAAAAAAACAAATCATTATATTTGACTAAATATAAAGAGTTACGAATAAAATAAAATAAAAATAAAATAAATCATAGGTTAGTTTTTATGTTATATTTAAATCTGAAAAAAATGTAACGACGTGAAAATATATCAAAATAATTGAATTATAATACAGAGCCATCTATTGAAAAATTACAGTACTTAAAGACTTAGATAACCTATAAATAATAAATCCTTAAATTAGGAATACAAAATACAAAATAATCGGGATCAAAACTATCCTGTAGTACACTAAATTTTTATATATTAATCTATTTAATTAATTAAAATATTTTATATAATAATATTAATATAATTTTATTCTAATTAATATTTAAAAATGTAATATTAATAATAATAAATAGTAAAAGACAAGTTGAGATTTTGATTAAAATATAATAATAATAATAATAATGTATAGCTTACTTGGCTGTCCTGTAAAAAATAGCACATCCGTCGACGTACTTCCGGTCATTTTCAGCCATTGTCTTGGCACGAGATTTCGGTGAGAATATACCATCGTAACCGTCGTGTTTAAGCTCAGGCAAAAAGAAATTGTAGAATTGGTCTGTCTCGACCTCCTGCAGGCTGATGATGTCAGCAGCATAATGTCGTATCTCATCTAGGATTCCTTTTTTCCGATATTCCCAATCTAATGCCCAACTTGGACAATAACCGTACATCTGACGTGTCGCGTACTTGTCGCACAGCACGTTATAACACATTACCGTAAATATACCTGGAACAATAAACAAGAATATATATATATATTTTTTTTATTTATCTTCCCAGGTTGTTTTATTCAAGAAAAATTACATTTGTTTTTTAATTTTTGTAGATGTTTTATAATCCAAACATCGTATCACCATATTATCAACCCCTATATCAGTTTGAAGCTACTTATTATTGGTATTCACTATCATTGTATTTTTTATTATTACCTTAATTTATTGTGTAACCCCAATTAGGGTTAACCAAAAGTGTTTCTGAATTTTTTTTGCTTTTATATTATTAAATATTTTAAAAATAAATTTTTGTATTACAATACAATCCATTATGCAGTTTCAAAGTTTCAATATAATATAATATATATGTATGTATTTATGTTTGTATAAAAGGTAATAATATCTTCTTTTGTTCTTTCGAAGTAGAAAAGGACCGTTATGAAAACGGTAGGGACATTTCGTATCTCGATTTATTGTCCTATCGATTTATCGTCGTCAAGTAGAATAACCGGTTACATTTACAAGCATCGAAGAGATATATATCTCTGATAGTCTTCGAGCTTTGTGAATCTTGTTTTGCAAGTTAAGACAAAGCTACAAGTTTCGTATACGTGGTAAAACTTATTTTCAAACGATATAGATGAATATTATGATACAAGAATGATAAGTATTTCTTTTTTTTTTTTTTAAACAATAACGTGATTTTTTAATAATATAATACATACATGTATACGTATGTACAGAAAAGTATATTACAATTTCAAAATGTTTTCATATCAGTCACTTTTAAAATTATTGTCCAAGTATTCTTTGGTATTCTTTTCATCAATTAAGATTGGTGTTGATCAGAAAACTAATATGATATTTAAATATGCAATGTAATTAACCCTTTTGCTACAGGCGACTTCTCTGCCGTGGTATTTTCGCTGAACGTGTCGCAGCGCCAAAAATGTGCACGGTGCTCGAGTAAAATCGACAGCGGCCGCGTTTATGCTTCACAGCAACCCGAATTGGTTTAATGGTGTTTATTGAAAAAAAAAAACTCCACAAATTAAAATATTTCTAACATTTAAACATATTAACTTTTTATTAAACTCGATTTGAAGTAACTTTAATCGTTCGTCATATTATACAATGTACAATGCGCGGTATTTTATGTATAGCGACTATAGCCGTCCGTAGTATGTGAGTGGCATTTTATGTAGAGCGACTTCAGTCGCCTGTAGTACGTCAGTCATAAAATGCTTATGGAAAGCGAGTATAGTCGCCCGTAGTGGCGAAAGGGTTAATGAAAGAGAAATAGAATAAATTGATTTTTAAATACATGTATATATATATATGATACATAATACATAGATATGTAAATATATATAAAGAAAGAGAAAGAACTAATAAAAATATGAAAAGGTTTAATATCAATTACTTTTGATACATCTGTCAAGTAATTTGGTATTCGTTTCATCGATTAAGATCACTACTGATGCTGCTAGTATTGATATTGATATTGGTGATTGGTATTGGTGATTGGTGATTGGTCTATGGTGTTGGTAGGGTGTTGTTGATGTTGTGTGGTATGGTCGTTAATCAACGACAATGTCGTATGCAATTGATATCGAGTTAATCATTCCCTCTCGTCCAATCGCGTGAGAAACGATTGAATCGGAGCTACTTCGATCACGATTAAATTACGATCGATAGATCGATCTAGCCGATAGATCGAATGATCATTCGTTCAATCGTGTCAATGTTAGTTTCGCACTCTGACTATCAAAGATTAGATCTTCAAAGATCTCACTAGACTTTCTTCTGAGATGTCACTTTATTTTATCTCAGAGTCCTTCCTATTTGTTCATTTTGTTTTGTATTTTTTCCTATTTTTTTTTTCAATAAATCATTACAAGTGTTACTGGAAGATCATATCTTTGATTTATATTCAAATGAATTAATAAATCAAATTAAAGACTTTTATTTCATTATAATTTCATTTAGTTTAATTAGGGTTGTGTATCACGTGGTTTCAAAGTAAGGTTATGTCGTAAGTAAATTGCAATAATTGAATTGAAATACGATGCCATCTGTTGAATATTTAAACAACTTAGAGACCTAGATAACTTCTAAATAATAAATCTATAAATTAGCAATATAAAATACAAAATAATTGCAATAAAAACTATCCTAAAACTAAATTGAGAAAAAAAATACACACAAAAAATAAACAAAATTTCATTGGAACAACAACAATTAAACGATGAATAAAATAAATCAATAAGAAAATAAAAGAGAATCAGAGAGTATAGAAAAGAGATTGCAGTTTCTTATAACAAAATTGAAAAAAAAAAATCTCGTCTTCCTAGCCCCTCTATTTGCATCTACCCCTCCCTCCACCCCCTGTTTAACTCATTCCATTATATTCTCTTTTCATCTATTATCTTCGTCCAGGTTTCTAATCGGCAATCGACTATAGAAGAAGTTAGTTGTAGTAGTAACTATGCACTTTCAATATTATTCCCATCGTATGAAAGCATGGGGGCAGGGAGGAGTAGTAGTATCATGGGGGCCCGAAGATAAAACAGCTAATGGCGGTGGTATATATACACGCTTAGAGTTTATTATATTCCGTAAGGATAATCGGTTGTTTATGGGATAGAAAAATGAGAGCGCTTCTTTACTAGTAGAAAGCAGTTACCGTTAGGATCCATTAACGAGAACTATGCTATATTGAAGATTTTTTTTTTTTATTATGGTTCTGGATCGAGTGAAAAAGAGAGAGAAAAAAAAATAATAGTAAAAAAGAAAATACAATTTTTTATATCGTTTTACTAAATTTTTATTTTTTTTTAATGTATAGTAGATAAAATTATCTGTAAGTGTAATCTCATAAGAATTTGTGTACTCGGTTTTTAATTGCATAATTAATTATTGTATTGATTTAAAATTATTTATATTTATTCTTATGCTAAAATCTTAAAATATTTTTTTTTTATTGATAGGAAAGTATTTTTAAAATTATATAATATATATAATATAATATTAATAATAATAATAATAATAATAATATGATATAATAATTAATATTTATTCTTATGCTAAAATCTTAAAATATTTTTTTTTTATTGATAGGAAAGTATTTTTAAAATTATATAATATATATAATATAATATTAATANTATTAATAATAATAATAATAATAATAATATGATATAATAATTAATATAATATATATTAAAATAATTAAAATAATAAATATAATATAATAATAATTATATAATAAATTAAATATATATATGTAAATGATTAAAAGTAAAATTTGTTTTTACTTTAATTTGACTATTTGATTATTTAAATAAATAATTTTTTTATTCTAAATTCTAACTAGTATTCCAATTGTTTTAATTTTACTTAATACTTTCAAAGATTATTAAATATAATTATTGTCCATTTTGCAAAGAAATTTCAATCAATTGTAAGTTAAAATTGACGTTTATTATTACAGCTTGTGAATCATTTATAGGGTGTATATTACCATACAATTTCATCCCCCCATAATACAAAATTACTTTTAGAACGACAAATACAAACTTTTCAGCAAGAAAAACAAAAAGATAGAAAGAAAGTTTAGTGAATGATAGAATATTGATAAAAATGTATACACAAGGAATTACAAAATATTAAATTATTTTGTTATATATTCAATAGAACATTTTTTCATAGATATATATATTTTTTTTATAAATGAACGTATATTGTTAGTTTATTTAATTATTAGAAAATTGAAAAGAATATTTTGTTCTTATACATTTTTATAAAGCATTCATTTTAGTCTTTTAATATGAAAATAACTAGCGCTTTATTGTTTTTTGTTCAACTAGATAGGAAAATAAATATATAATAATGTTGAAACGCGTTACAATGGAAAAATAATAATAATAAAAAAAAAGAGAAAGAGAGAGAGAGAGAGAGAGAGAGAGAGAGAGAGATAGAATATTCTAGACTGAGGTATTGAATTTTTGCCATTTCATCAAAGCCAGACATCTTGTTATCCGTGGTAGGATCGTTGATGGGTTAGGTCGATGAGATTACGAGAGCACGCCGTTGGGGAAAGGAATTTGTTGAAAATGAAGGAGAGATAACTTAGTTTGCGGATGATGATGCGTAAGACAAAAATTGATTTTGAACCTTACAACGGGAGATTATAACGAGAGAGAGAGAGAGTTATAAATTTGACATTAATTTTACGAAATTTGATTCTACATTTATTCTATCCTCTTCATTATTTTTCATTATTATCGATAATGGTCAGAAATAATTTTTATCATTAATTATTAATTCAATAATTCATTATAAATATCAAATTTTATTCATGTTTTAGTTCTTTTGGAGAAAAATTAATTCATTCGTAACCCTTCTACATATATTTGGTTAGAATCAAACTCAAATTAGGTTATGTCACTTATAAACCTGAAAAAAAATGTACGACCTGAACATATCCAATTAATTGAATTGTAATACAACGCCACCTATTTAAAACTTACACTATTTAGAGACTTAAATAACCTGTAAATAATGAATTTTCCTAAAGTTATATAAAAGAAATAAATAAATAAGATTTAAAACATTTTTTGTTCGATTCGATTTGCATCGATTGATTTATCGAATACATAATAGTGTTTTACAGGAAATAAAAGTTTCTAGAATTTCTAGTAAAATAGTTTAAGTATTGAAGTTTAAATGTTCGTAGTGTCATTGGAATAAGCTCGATATTGTCGGAACTTGTCGGCATTGTAAAAGGGGGTATCCTTTCGAAAGACGAAACGAGTTAGAAACAAGGAGAGAGAAAGAGAGAAAGAGAGAGAGAGAGAGAGAGAGAAGAGAAAGAGAGAAAGGTAAAGAGGAATACTTGACTCGCATCTGTGCTCATGGAATTTCTCTGGAGCGACATGATATCCGCAGGTCGTAAACTAAAGTTCGAAAGCAAGTGTTCCAGGTACAGGTTGTGTCGGCAAATAGTATTGCC